TGCGCGGGGGGGGGGGAATCTCCCAAGTCCAGGTGAAAGGACGGTCTACCTTTTCGTTACTCCAGCCTGAATACCGTGGTAACATTTGATCTTTTTTCTTCCCGCAGATGTCGTTTTCTTCATTTACCTCTACCAGCGATGGATCTACCGGGTAGATCCAACCCGTGTCAATGAGTTTGGGATCAGTGGGGAGGACCAAACGTCCCGGACAGTGACACAGAGCATAGCCCAGCAGGACGGTACCCCTGCGGTGCTGGCCGTCAAGGGCCCCGGGGCGTTAACAGAGGGCCCAGCCAACGGAGCTCCTGCAGCAGCCACGGAGCCGGTCGCCGACAGCTCTCCGGCAGCCCCTTCGGAGAGCTTGTTAGACGGCGTCCCCGAAACACTCCCGTTGAAAACGGCAGAGGAGAAGAAGAAAGATTAACCCGCTCTTAACGTTTATTTTTTAATACCCCTAACTCAACACTTTCACGGTTGGAGAACGGACAGAAGGCAGACGGGTGGGGGCAGGGAAGGAACAGAGTCGCTTCGGTCCCCCAGGGTCCAAAGCTTTTTATTTTATATTCCAGTAAATTCGTGGGGGGCAGTAAACGGGCGGGAGGGTCGTTGGGATGGGGAGGGAGGGGGAGACAAAGATTGCTTGAAATGTTGGTGACGTTCAGTGTGACCTGTTGTCCCCACCCACCCACGCTCATCAGCTCCTCCGTAAATCTCTATGTTTAAAGCAGAACTCGAACCAATAATTATTGTGACCTCCATTCCATTGTGCGGGTATTTAGGACATTGTTATTAAGGCGTTTTTCTCCAAGTTGTGTCTCCGTTTTCATAAAGAGAGCTGACTCTCAGAACAAAGCAGAAGAAAATAACATTTCTCGTCATTGCATCCTAATGCGGACTCCGGATTTAATAAATTCATATGGGTGTTTAAGTTAAAAAACAACAATTATTGTGACCTCCATTCCATTGTGCGGGTATTTAGGACATTGTTATTAAGGCGTTTTTCTCCAAGTTGTGTCTCCGTTTTCATAAAGAGAGCTGACTCTCAGAACAAAGCAGAAGAAAATAACATTTCTCGTCATTGCATCCTAATGCGGACTCCGGATTTAATAAATTCATATGGGTGTTTAAGTTAAAAAACAACAACAAGCAACTCTGCTGTTTCTTCTTCTTTTCCTTTTTGTGATGGCCTAGGATAAGAATGTGCAGTCAGATTTGTGTGTGTGTCTGTGTGTAACTGTGGGAACACACAAAAAAACAACAACGGAAAATTAGGCATAAAAGTCCAACTTTATTGAATCAAAACAAACGGAAAACAGATCCTTCGCTCTTAATGGCAATAAGTTAATTGTGTGCTGTGTGAGGTCACTTCCTTTTCTGAACCCTAAACCTCCCACTAATCAACTTTACTAAGTTTAGTATTTACATTTGGCTGGGACAGGAGTTTATCTCTTGCTCATTCATAACAATTTATAACCTGACAAAAATCTAGTGCCTCCTTAATTGTTCTTACTTCCAATGATTTTTTTTAAAAGGAATCCTTTAATCCTTAAAATACTTAATAATAATACTTTAAAAACATTCCTCATCTGAAACTTATTGATTGATTTGATTTCTATACCGCCCATCTGCCAGCCGGGGCCACTCTGGACAGTTTACAACAGTAACAAAATGATAAAATAACAAAAAAATAATAATACAACCTCAAAGTTAAAGTGCAAATTAAAATGTCATAAATAAAGTGAAGGACAAAGTGAAAAAAAACCAATATATTTAATATAAAAGCACATACAATCAATATAATTGATAGCATAAAAGATGGCAGCCTATAAATTAGTCCACGAAAGATGCTTCCACCCCAGCATATTTGTCTTCCCATCTCCACTGTATTCTCCCCTGTTCTGAAGGATTCTCCTTGTGGTCACTTAAACCTGCCCATGATATTCCAGATGTGGATGCTCTGGTTTGCACGGTGGTGGTTTTTTTAACTAGCCAAGAACGGGTGTTCTTTTCCCGTTCTTTTGATTTGTCACCAGATAAAGAAGTGCAGTAACTCGGTCCCATAAACAGGACAAATATGAATTGCAGGGTTTGGTCCCAAGTCTGAGTCTTTGGTATCGAGTTCCAAGTCTGAGTCCCTATTAAAAACAAAACTTTTTTCTCCAGGAAAAAAAAAAGGATGGCGTGGGTGCATTCCGAGCCACGCATCGAATCTTTGTCATTTAAAAAAACAAAACTTTTGAGTTAAAGGCTCTGGTGTGACTTAAGCCTGACTTGGCAGAGACTCCCGTGCATCAAGGTCCCCCATCTCTGGGAGTTTAATGAAAAAGACTGGTGAAGGCGTAACTCTCTCGTGGAGTTGTTTCTGGGACGGGCATCCAATTCTAGGCCAAGTGCAGGAATCCTACAAAGGGGCTGAGCAGGCCAGGCTCCCTGGCCGTAGATTCTCAGGAGACAGAAATGTGGAGATGGTCTGTCGATCCTCCAGGCGGACCGAGATCATTCTTTTCCAGCTCTGCTGGCGGTCATGCTTCAGGAATGCACTTTCTAACAATCCCTCCTTGCAAACACGTCAGGGCTTTGCTTTTTCAGCCATTTTCTGCTGCCCAGAAAAAGTTTTATGGGAGACACCCTTGTCTTTGCTGGAAACAAGAGAAGGAAGAAGAAGAAGAGGAGGAACGGACCCAAGCAGAGTTAAAAATCAGCAAGCTAAGCCACCCCATAGGCTCACATCCTCCCTCTTTCCATCATCCACTCTTTATTCCTCTCATGCCTTCATGCTCCTCCTAGGCCAGCACTGGACAAGGTTAACCATCTCTGGGATTATATGCAACAACAAAAACAACTCACTTCTGTCCCTAGTTTTAAGCCCAGATTTCTACAGTTTATGCCATTTTCTCTAAAGCATGTGATGGGGAAAAAAATCTAGGAATATCAGGAAAAACTTCCCGTTAAAGCAGTAAGATAATGGAATCCATGACCTCAAGAGGTGGTGAGTGCTCCAACACGCAGAGAAACCTGAGAGACAACCACCTGGCAGATATCCTTGGATTCGTATTGTATGCCTCGAGCAGGGGGTTGGACTGGATGGCCTTACAGGTCCCTTCCAACTTCACTATTCTAGGATTCTATGAAAAGAGTCCAAATAGGCAGAACCCAACTTTTAGCCTCTTGCAAGAGAGTTCATGTTCTAGCTGCATACAAAGTCCCTTAATGTTCTTTTCTTTGTTGACTATCCAACAAACAGCAACAGAGCATGGACGGAGTTCCTAACTCCAGTCCTCTAAAGATGCCCAGCCACAGAAACTGGCGAACCATCAGGAAGAACAACCTTCAGAACGCAGCCAAAGAGCCCGAAAAACCCACAGCCACCATCCTTTAATATTGTCAGACGCTGCAGAATCTGGTTCTGCTGCCTTAAGGACTAGAAACTTGAGAGATTGAGAGCAAAAATTCCAATCATGCTAACGCTACCCAGTATGAGATTTGTGTTTGTGTGTGCTTGGGTGATTGGCTTTTTCATCCCATTGCAGCAAATTCACGGCATTCTTCTTATTCTGTATTAACCTATCTTGCCATAATCCAGTGTTACCTTGAGATATGAATTATTTGCATTTACCCAGACGTCGCTAGCTGCAGTCTGGTGTGAAGGACTTCTGGCATTCGTTCATTCGCGTGGACCCCACAGCTTTGATTTGTTCAGAGGTGGGTGGGCAGAAGACTAGAACATGAAGGAGGTGCGCCTCGCTCTATTTTTCTGGGAAGGCACCTTGAGCTAAGCGTGACATCTTTCATGGCTGAGCATGTCGTTGATACTCGCACCACGTGACAAGAGAAGACCCCTCTGTGTCTTAAAAAGGGATTGCTGCCATTCTGGAGTGGGGGGGGGGACATAATTCTAACTACGAAAAAAGTGTCTGACTTGCATTAAGACTTTTTGTTGGTAGAATCTCAAAAGAGAGAAAGCAAAGGATGCAGAAATCAGGATGATATCCACGAGAGAATCGGAGAGCAGGGTTTCGGAAGGAAAAAGCAAAGTAAAGTAGGACATGCTTGTAAAATACAGGATGAAATCGGCTGTGGTTTGGTCTGCGCCCTCTCCTGCGTTGGGTGGGTTTCGTTTCTACTTCCCATAGCAGTCTCTCTTTTTTTGCAGGGTGACTCCCACGTTTGCATGAGCCAGGAACGTTTGTTGTCGCACAAAACACACCAGGGTGCGGCCTTTGGCCACTCTAGGGGCTGAGTTTCACGTAACTGCGGCGGAGAAAACATCTGGAGCCAGATGTCAACAGCTGTCCCACCCCCAGCCATACAGCCTGTCCTGGAAATGAGATTTTCCGTTTTGTGGCCGATTCCCTCGAACCCTCTGAAGCCAGAGGACCACAGGGGGGAAAAACAGAGTAGTTTTCCCCTCTGAAAAGAGATGATTTTCACAAGCAACGTGGCCCCAGATAACCCAGGCCTTGGTGCACCAGCTGTTCCAAGTCTTTTTGAAATTTCACCTCCTTAAGAAGGCCCCAGAGTGTCAGTCATATGGGGCTTATTTTCTTGACCTTGCATACGCTGGCAAGTCAGGATAAGCTCCAGTTTCGGCCTGCAAGGATAGCGGGAAGGAAAGAGATTCTGGATTGCAAAACATGTGTTAAGAAGTTACTCTTCTCTACCTTTCTGCGGGAGTGCAGCAGAAGGAATGTCAACAAGGACAGCTTGTTCTTATTCCAGCCGGAACAGTCAAGAGTTCCTCTCTTCTACACCATCGGCCACCTTGGTAAATTAAAATCAATGTATTGCACAGGAAAAACCGGGGAGCGTCTGACATGTCCTCCCACAGGCTTATATCCTTCTGCGTATATTTAAAGCAAATGCATTAGAAACTGTGTTGGGAAGCTTATTTAAAACAAATTTAGAATTGCTCTCCCGATTTCCATCTTTAATTCCTTTATTTATTTATTTATTTTACAAAAGCAATGCTTTACTCTTGAAGCAACACAATCGGTTGCTGCCAATTTCTTCCAAGGGAGCGTCAGAGGGCTACAAAGCGGTGGCCCGTGGTAGGTAAGGGTAAAGTTTCCCCTTGACATTTAGTCCAGTCGTGTCCAATTCTAGGGCATGGTTCTCATCCCCAAGCCGTAGAGCCAGCGTTGGTCCAAAGACAGTTTCTGTGGTCATGGGGCCAGCGCGACTAGACACGGAACGCCGTGACCTTCCCGCCGTGGTGGTACCTATTTATCTACTCGCATTTACATGCTTTCGAACGGCTAGGTTGGCAGGAGCTGGGACAAGCGACGGGAGCTCCCTCCGTTGCGTGGATTCGATCTTACGACGGCTGGTCTTCCGACCTTGCAGCACAGAGGCTTCTGCGGTTTAACCCGCAGGCCCACCACGCCCATGGTACCCCCCCAATATCTATAAAAGTAACTCCACCCGTTGCTTCAGTGATACTGAAAAGAAGGAAGTTGCCTTTCAAGCCTCTTATTTGTGCAATGCGTTACTGCCAAACTTTGACCGGAACAAGGTTTCTAAGAATATAATATTAGAACTGCAGAGCTGGAAGGCGTCTATGAATCATTCAGTCCAGCCCCTGTCAAGGAATCAAACTCCCCTACCTAAACCACTGAACCTCCCAGCAGTTCATCAACAAGACTCCGAAGAC